TGATATTTTCTTTAATTTTGCTTCTTCGGGATGATTTTTGTTGCTGCATCTTGTGGATTGCATTTTTTTGGTGTGTAAACCATTATCTTATTCTGATTGTTTCCAATATTTCTTGCAGCCGCTTAGGGGACCCATTAACAACTGACCTGCGAACTATGAACTCCTTAGCAAAGGTTGGTGTCTTGGAATCCATCACACTTGCATAGTAAAAAAAATGTCTTCAATTTAATGATCTGGTTGAATGCTCTTCATATTTTTTTGAACGTTAAAACAGATCATGAGACAAAGGCGTATCGACAGAGGAGCACTTACACTTGCTTCAGCATAAGTTAAATTTCAAATTGATACTGAAACTCATGATCCTTTAGATATTGGTTAGTAGTTGAATTTATAGAAGGTTTTAATTCATTTATTTGTACTAGTGCTAGGATGTTAGAGGTATCTTGGATACTCACACTGTGGGTTGTTATTCTTGTTATGGTTAATAGTAAACAACTACTTCTCACAAATCGCAGGTTCATATACTTGACATGGAATGTTTTTCTTACCTAAATCGTGCTTTTGAGAGCTCGATATCGCCGATAGTTATATTTGCTACGAACAGAGGAGTATGTAATGTAAGGTATGAATTAGCAACATTATGATGGTTTATTTCAAAATAGCATCAATAACTGATTATTTATTGTTTTTTATAGCTTTGAGTTTGGTCTGTTCCTGCACATAAATAAAGTCATAAAAATTCTTCTATACTTATTTGAAGTTATTCATACTAATTCTTTGGTTCTTCTCAGAGGAACTGATATGACTAGTCCACATGGCATACCTGTAGATCTGCTGCATTGTCTTGTAATAATTCGAACAGAAACTTATGGCCCTACTGAAATGATTCAGGTTCTTGCATTTATCTTTGTCCTTTTACATTGTGTCTCAAACATGAACTTCCTAGTGACTGATACTATCTGTTGATGTGGACCAGATACTGGCCATTCGTGCGCAGGTTGAAGAGCTGGTAATTGATGAAGAAAGTCTAGCTTATCTGGGTGTGGGAGATTTCTGATCCTTTAGTAGTTTCATTCATTTTAGAGTAATATTGTTGCATCTGGAGGTCTTGGTGGGGAGGTCTTTATATGGGACATTGAAGCAGGACTTCTTCCGGTTACCAAGTCTGTCGATGCTGCTGAAGATTGTCTGTCTTCATTGCAGGTGGGTTGAAGCCGTCAGCGAGTTTCTTTCTGTTTTACACTCTAGCCCATACATTCATGGACAACAACAGGTATCATATCTGCCTTATAACATTGTTCTCGTATGACTTACAACACACAAAATTCTCCTAACTTATAAAGCAAGCATTTCCAATGTTTATTTTCTGCAAGTTATTCATATATTATTCTGCTACAAAAGCTGTTTTTAATCTAGTATTTCGCTTTACTCATGAAAGTTGTATTAGTGTTGTTACAAAAATTTGTATTAGTGTTGTTACAAACTAAGTTATAAAATTTTGTGAACCTATTAAAACATTAGTAAGTATTTTATGTTAGTATATAGTTTTTGGGTAAACATTCTCTTGTATTTATTCTTGCATGTTACTTAGAAAGACATCGGTTGGAATTGTTCTAACATGTTATTTTCGAACTTTTATCTTTTAGACAGAAGAAACAAAGAATGCAGATGTAAATGGACCAAAAGGTATAATTAGCTCCATCGGCATCTCAATCGTTGTTGGATGGGCCTACCTCCTTGGCATCCCATGTTTGTTGATCAGTTGGCAAGGATAAACGTTTCCGAATTATATCTCATATGTTTGTAAGGACCAGAAGATCTAACCATGTTTGTTGATCAGTTTAACATAGCTCAAATAAACTTTTCCGAATTATATCTCATATGTCTATTGATCAGTTGGCGAGGATAATTCTATGACTGGGAGAGATTTTATCTGGTAATTCTGCTTTTAAGACGGCTACCATTACATTCTTGGAGTTTGATATGTTCATTTTTGATCAGTTATATACTCATCTGGTAATTCTGCTTTTAAGCTGATTTTCCTTTTTTTTTTAAATCTATCTAATTGCCCCAACGGTTGGAACCGTTGGGGCAAGTTCGACAACCGTTGGGGCTGACTTAGCCCCAACGCAACTTGGCCCAACGGTCGTTTTTTCAGCCCCAACGGTTACAACCGTTAGGGCAGCCCATGTTTGTACTAGTGAAGATTTCCATGCCTTTGTAGCTATCATCCCCTTTCTCATGGATCTAACTTTCTCACCCTCTAAAACCCAATTTGTCAAAGGAGACTTGAATCTATTTCTAAGGGCATATTTCTTTATGTCCATCATCTCATAATACCATAGCCATGAAAATACAATCACAAATCCAACAATAAGAAATGAACAAATTCAAAAATAACATGCATATTTTTATACTTAACATGAAGCAAAAAACATGCACATATACTTACTACCTATAACAACAAGCAATTTAAATTTAAAATTTACACGAATAAGTGGCATGCATCCAAGGATATATATAACTTCTAGCTTCTTTCAATCACTCTGAAACAATTTTAATGTCTCTCACAGTTTCTGTATAAACAAATTTCCCCATACAATCATAAAATTTGATTTCTAAAATTTCCCACATAAATTGCACACAATCTAAAAACATAAAAAAAAAGATTAAATCCCAATATGCTAAACTTACTTCTTTCTAGTGTGGGAGACATCCTTTTTTGAACTTTATTTTTTGCCTTTGCCAAATTTCCACAAGAATCTTTATCGCTTCATCCCTGCTGCTATTCCTAAAGGAATAACGTGATTCATCGTTGTTCAAGAGACACCAGAGACATCATTTGAGGAAGCAGTAGGATCATCACTTGCAGATTCACTAGCGTTAGCAGTAGAACAACGTTCTTGAATGACCTTTGATGATGAGGAATTAACTTTATTTTTATATTTTGACCGCCGGTCATACCCAACATTCGAAACCGACACTAGTCCCTGATTCTGCTCCGGCTGTCCACTGTAATGAACCACTTTAAAATTGTCACCAACTTCGTCCTTCATCCTCGAATCTAACAATTCCTTGTCTTAAATTGAGTTTTTAGCCATTTTTCACCAATGAAGCCCTAACCATAGGTAGAATTTCGAGAGGGAGAAAGAAAGTGGTTTTTGGGGTTCGCTTGGTTCCTAGTAAGAATAGAAGAGAGAGGGAGAGGGTAATTCAATTTGTCTTATGGGGATATAGTTACCAATTTTTGAGGAGTTCGGAAATCAGTCGGTGGGGTTTGTTTAGGAATTGGGGGATGTTTTTTTTCTCATTGCTTACTTGACAATGTAGTTATGCCTTAAACACAAATAGAGTATGTATTTGGGGCTAAAACACATGGCCCAAAATACAAAGGGTTTACTCATATAAGCTTTTTAATATTGGGCCTGGTCACAAATTTTCCCAAATTGAATAAAATTAACCCTAAAAGAGAAAACCAACATAATTCTTTTTAAAATAAGATAAAATAAAAACTTGAAAATGAATTAAATCTCACTTAGGCAATAAAAGGAATCAGAATATGTTGAGGAAAGGAAATAACTACGGCCCCCACATGATAATGAAAATTTTGATCTTCATCACTTAGTACAATTTTGACAGTGGGGAAAGGTGTATGTAACTTAGCATGTTTTGGAGATTGTGTCACATCATTGTTATTGATGACTAAGATCAAACAGTTGATCGTATCCAGGGGCGGGATAGGTTCCTCTTGAGTCTTCACTGGGACGAGGTAAGGAGATTGATGATGGGCCGCCTCTTTTCTCCACATTTATGCCTGGTTCTTGAATTGGAGGCTAAAGTCCATGCTACACAGACAAGAAGAACCTGTAAGAGGGTGGGGACCAGTTCCTCCGTGGTTCCTCCGATGGTCAAGTTAGTGAAACTTGAGTAGGGAAGGGAAAGGTCAGGAACCGAGGTGGTCCTTGAGGTGGCAAGGTGTCGTTATAGAGGGTCTATATGAGCTCCTCTGTGTATATGAAGAACTGCGTGTGTTCTTTCTCTTTTTCAGAGAGAGAGAGTGAGAAAGAGCCCACTTTTGAGATTAGAAGTCTACCTATATATATCACAATGACGAGGATAAATGGGTCACTTCCAACCAAGCATAGGGAGGCGATGGCAAAGTGCCAGCTAAGAGCCGAGTCATCCCTCGCTTTACAGGTGTCGGTCGGAGACTGGAGGGGAAGTCACTTCGGTTCGAGAGAGGGTGTCTCCGTATTTTTTGGGAAGTGATTGAGAGCGTGGCAGAAGGCACGCTGGCAGACCGAGTCATCCCTCGTTTTATAAGTGTCGGCTAGCGACTGGAGGGGAAGTCATTTCGGTATGGGAGAGGATGTCTTCGTATTTTTGGGAAGTGATTGAGAGTGTGGAAGAATGCACGTGGGAGGCTGACAAGGCATGAAGACCTTTAGGCTAGAATCAAGATAAGGCTTGTTCGAGGTGGACTGGGATGCTGACATGTGCTCAGGGGACTTGAGGTGGAGGTTATTCCTCAATCTAGTCGATAGAGAATATTCATCAAGTCATCTCCATGAGTCCCCGAGTAAATGATAGAGTGCCCTTGGTGGGTTATCTTCGATGATAGGGTCGGCTGATCCCGCCTTTTGTATCGGCATGAAAGAATGTCGACTTGATGAGATCTGTTAGGCTTGGGCCACCAAGTTGATTGTGACCTTGTTTGCTGAAATTCACTCATCAGTGTTTCATTTATACATTATATTTCTAGCAAATAGGAACACCATAACAATTAGCCCTTTTCGCTTGGAGTCATCTTGAGCCGGGTTCATTTTTATTGGCTGATGTCACTCAGGAATTTGAACTGCCATTCTAGGAATCGAAGCGTCATAGAGTAAATGGGGGGACATTCCAATTTTCGAGCGTCAAGAGGTGGGGTAGTAAAGAGGCGACGCTTCGTGTTTTAAATAAAACAGTTGAGATTCCAAGGCAGATCTCATACCTTTATTTTGAAACACCTTGTGCCTCCAGATGAGCCCACGTAGCTCTCCAGAATGCTATAAATAGCCTGCCAAGGCTGATAAACTCCCTTTACGAACTTTTGCTCTTGAAAACTTTATCTTCTAAGCTTTGAGCGAAAATATTCTTAATGGCTTCTCAACCTTCGATCGCTGGTCGTAATGAGGAAAATCTTGCTCTTCTCAACCTCATTCGCTCTAGAGTCTATATGGACGACCTGGTGGGGTTTTATGAGCTTTATGATATCCCCAGGTCTCTTACACTGGTGGCACCTGAGAAGACCGAGCCGGTGCATAGGCACAACGAGAATCGGGTGCCTGTATATCTGGTCCATTTGGAGCAAGGTTTACGTCTGCTTCTTCATCCTTTCATTAGGGAGGTACATGTTGCTTTGGGTATTTCCCATTCCTAGTTTTACCCAGGTGCGGTGGGGGCTTTGATGGCTTTTATAATAATCTGCCACCATGTAGGAGTATAGCTGGGCATGAGATTGCTCGGTCATCTAGTCAGTATTAGGTCAGCCGAAAAGAACCCACACTACTTTTACCACTACAGTGCTGATTTCCAGCTTGTCTCTGACTCTTCAGAGTCGAACAAGGGCTGGAGAGAGAGGTATGTGTGGGTCTACGGTGCTGACCACGTCTTTGCCTGCTCAACTTGGCCAAAGGCGAATAGGGAAGCGTTAAGGCCGGTTGCCCCTAGCGATCTGGAGATGGGGGGCTTGGAGAGGATCCGCTCTTATGCTGGGTCACGAGAGAGGGATGATCTATTCAATGATGCATCTCTTCGAATGGAGAGTCTGTCCATGATCTTGTCTTCCACTGGCTATTAAGCGAGTGTGAGTCCTCTTGCTCATCCGCTGATGGAAAATCACAAGAGGGACGCAGAGGCCGTGAGGTTAGGTTCTGCTGCCAGGCCTCAAAAGAGATTGAGGGAGGCTCTTAGAGCTGAGGAAGTGGCCTGCTTGATGCCTCATGCAATCAAAATTGCCTCCGAATTAAGGGGGAGGATGAGGATCGAGAGGCAGTGCCTAGTCAAACCGGTTGCAGGCCCTCAGCCAACTGGAACGGGTCCGCTGGTGTAGGTTGTCTAAAAATTACTATAGATAGCTGATCCCCATCAAACACCGATGATGAAAGTTATAATTTGATGACTTTCAAAAGGCTATAATTTGAAGACTTTTACGTAGATCGATGAAAGTTACAATCTGATGACCTTCACAATAATTGATGAAAGCTCTAAGCAACAGTCTTCACAATCAACATCGGGAGTTACAATCTGACGACTCTCATATTTTCAAAGAGCCAAGACGAAGATTACAAGATGGCGGTCTTTGTAACGCTCTAGCAAAAGAGACTATAAATTCACGGTCACTTCAAATCCAGACGCAGATCTCACCTCTGCACCCCAGATTCAAAACACAGATATCTCTCAAACCCAAGTTATATTCTGAAGTTCGTCTGTAAGACTAGACTCCGCCTAAACATTGGACTTAGCCTGAAGCTCACCAAGCTCATCTGAGGCTCGCCTTTGTGTTCCAGAGTCAAAACGCAGAGCTCATGCTCGCATTCCAGATGCAAAATGTAGGGTTCATCCCCAGCGTTCAAGTTCGGACGCAGAGCTCGTGGCCGCATTCCCAGATAAAATGCTGAGGTCCTCTCTGCCTTTCAACACCAAAACACTGAGGTTCTCCCCGTGTGTCAGCAATAAAACGTAGAGCAGAGGTCCTCCCTGCGTTGCAATATCAAAACACAGAGGTCGGTCCTACATCGCAACATCAAAACACAGAGGTCATACCTGCGTTTCAGATTCAAAACACAGGGTTCATCCCCAGTATTCCAGTTGAAAACACATAGTTCGTGG